GGGGCAGAGAGCCAGCCTGCAGGCCCTCCTCCCCACCACCATGCAGGAATGCCCACCCGGGTCCAAGGGGTGACAGGGCGGCCGGAGATGCGTGGCGAGTGTGGGCTCATCTCCGCAGGTTCCACAGAGGGAGCGCCAGTGGCACCAGAGGCGATTCCCCACCCGTTCCCCTGCCCCCCGCAGGCCTGTGCCATAGCACACAGGTCAGGGACTGCTAGTTGGACTTCTCCCTTCCAGTCACCTTGCGGGAGAGGCCCAGGGGCCCCCAGGAAGCCTGGCCCGGGCGTCACCGGGAGCCCAGCCCCTGTGTGCCGGCCTGGTTCTGTGCAGTACCAGGTGGGCCACAGGGGAGGGGAGAAAGCTGGGCAGCAGTGATGGGGAGGGCGGCCCTCCTCTGCCCCTCTGCCCGCAAAGTGGGAAGGCAGGCAGGAAAGGTCCAGAGGGAACCTCAGGCTCCACCCTCCGCGAGGGCCTGTTTGTGACACTTGGGATGGGCTTCCTCGGGGGGCCGCTGCTGTGGGCAGCGGGCAGTGGCGCCTTTCACCTGCGTGCCCCCGCCTTTTCGGGAGCTCAAGTGGACGCCGGGTGTGCACGTTCTATATCCACAAGCCTCCTCACCATGTACAGCACCCCTGCGCGCGCATGCAAGCGTGCCCGACTGTGGCCCTTTCCCCTGGCCTTCTCCGACCTGGGCGGACCTAGGTCTGGCCAGCAGAGCAGGGTGGGTTTCCTCCTGGCTGCCGAGATCTTTGCGTGGGTGCTTGAGGAGTGGTGGGGAGCGATTCCTAGGAGGGAGCAGAGTTGTGCCTTGCCACTGTAGGTCCCCCCCCCCAAGGGTGGTGCAACTCTGGAGCACGAAGGGACCTCTCTGGACTCTCTGGAGGACACAAGTTGGGGTGTGTTGTTACTCTTGTTTGTGGACGTGATGGGGGGAGCCACAGCTGCACATGGAGAGCTTCGGTGGTGCTGGTGCTGGTGGTGGAGGTGGTGGTGGTAAGAAGTCACAAAGTGGTATCCTCTTCCACTGTCCACCCCAGGGATCGCGA